TTATCTTATTGTGCTAGGATTTATTAAATAATCAAACAATTTCAAGTCGTTATTCTTGATATTTGATTGACGTACAAGATGATTACTAGGGTACGCTAGAATTAATCCATATATGCTCTGTTACATATGGTTTCAGGCCAGAGGAGAGAAATTAACTTGTACATCAAAAAAGTCTTGAATGCTAATCAAGATAATTATATCAAGTATTTCGTATAAACTAAATTTTTATTTAATATATATGATTGTGCTTACACAATCTTGCTTTTATGATTTATTGCAATACTACAAAATGTCATACTTTTATCTACGTCTTCTTTTAGAAAAGTGGAGACATAATTCTAATAGAGTAGGCAAATATGGTGCGCAACTTAAGGCATGCTTGTTTATTGATATTTTTCAATCCAATTGTTTCAACTCAAATATTTAACTCAACTTTAACTTAACCCCACTATCTTTAATATTATTCATACAATTAAATAATAAAAACCAATCATTCTTACACATCACATCAACTTTAATTCACTATTCATTCACTCACATAATTTTAACTACCAATCATTTCCAATCATTTATCTTCTATTTTATATCAAATCAACTTTAATTATTTTTATTTTAAATATTATTTTAATATATTTTTTAAATTCCACTAACAATTAACCACATTACTTTTTCAACTTTAACTATAGTTAACAAAATGAAATATTTTGGTTGAAAAAATCCATAAACAAACGCCCCCTTAGCTTTTTGTGGGCATCATGTGCTTAGGTATAGAACTGACTTGTGAATTTGTCCTGAGAAATGGCCGTTACCGACCTATTCCCGTCCTTTTAGCTTCCCTGTCCGAGGCCCCTCCACCATTATTAAACCGTATTTGGACCTTTATCCGGTGACCCGAAATTTGGTAGGAGGCTACACAAAACTTAGACTAGAACCGAAAAAAAAAAAAAAATGAACGAAATTATACAAATTTAAAGTTGTATCAAATTGAGCACTTCAAAAGCTATTGGACGAAAATGAAATGGAATTAAAAATTACTAAATCGAACTGAAATTTTCAACAAATTTAAATTTACATGTATAAATTGAACACCAAAAGCTACTGGATGAAAATGAAGCAGCATTAAAAAATATTATACAAATTGAAATTCCAAAAAAATAGCGGACGAATCTATATAAAAAAAAAAGTTATTCAACTAAAATTATACATTTTTCCTAGCTACCATATTGATATTTGGATTTTTAGAAAGCTCAAGAAGATTAGTGTTTAGTAAATAGAAGATGGGTGATTAGCAACCAAATAAATAAATTAATAAGAAAAAAAACATTACAATGAAGGTTTAGACTTTTAGTACGAATGGCCTTTCATTCACATAGAAGATGGGGCCTTTTGCTTTTTCCCTTTTTCTGGCTTAAAAAGATAACTAGTACTAATACTCATGCTTAAAAAGATAACTAGTACTAATACCCATGTACAACATGAGTGTTGAGTTAATAAATATATATGTAAAGTTATTTATGTCTAATACCAAACATAACTCCAGAGCAAAAATAATATAAAAACAACATCACGAAGCATCTATTTTCGTCATATCAGCATCCGAAGCGTGAGAATCTGTCACCTACGCTCAACACATTTTGAATTAATATATAGGGGAAGGATGCTTGTTCCCATAGAAAAATAGAACCAATCTAAGAATATAGTTATCACTTGCACATCAATCGCTATTTCTAGAAAGCAGCACGCATGCAGGTGACACAGCGACACACGAAAATGAGGAAGAACATGAGGAAACTTCACAAGATTTGATTTTGCACGATAATGTTTCATAACATGACACTCAAAGTCAAAGGGAACAGGTGCGCAATTAAAGTTTTGCGTAATGATTGGGAGAAAAAACGAAAGAACTGAGAAGCTTTATATATGGTTTAGAAATTAAAGGAAGGTTGATGTTTCGTTCTCTTTGAATCTAAGAAGAATCATCAATGTGATATTTTAACGATTGTTGGGTACAAGGAGAGGACGTACATCACTTAATTAGATGTGTAAACACATCGAGTCAAGTTCAAACTCATGATACTCGAGCACGGGCCTTTGTCGAGCCATTAATTAACTAAATGAGTCAATAAACGAGTTAGTTCGTAGTTCATTTATCAATAATAACGAGCCAAATTCAAATCAAACTAATAGACAATTACATAAAAAATTTTAGTTTGTAACCTTAAGCTGAACTCACAAAAAGCTCTACACTTGATCAAAATTCAGAGGCTTTTGTGAGTTCATCAAAGTTCATAAACGTTAAAACATATTTGTAATTATTCAGGACCAAGAACATGACAAATTGAGGGGAAAAAACTTCAAATATTTTCTCATTTTACACTGTAAAATGAGAATTTAGGAGAGTACCAAGTAAAAAATAAATAAAAAATAAAAAAAAAGAATAACGTGAAAAAACCGCAGCTGCTAGAGCTCAATTATTGGAACGAGAGATCATAGGGTCAGCACAAATCTAACAGCACACAGACAATACAAAACAGTAAACTACGGGGCTGGGGGATTGGCTGAATCACGACGCTCGTGGGGTGGCTTGTCCACGGCGTGTCTTAATGTCGTAGTCTTCTTTCGTTAATTTCGGGCCTTGCCCGCCTCTTCTGTACCGAAAAAAAAAAAATAAAAAAAATACAAAACAGTAAAGACCAGTCACGTAGGTTGGTGCATGACCCGCTTTTCATGCCATTAGGTAAAGTATTTATGACATACAAACAATCTTTTTTTAAAAAGGACCCACCCACCCTTGTGATTTTGCCAACCAAATCCAATTTACCCTAAAAAGAAAGTGTGAAGAATGCAAGCAACAAAAGCAATCCTCATTAGCGACCAACCCAAATTACCTCGAAAAGGCCAAAATTCGCCAATAAGTTTAGGCGTAAACTAATGTCCAATTGTGTTTATTTTTTGATAGACTTATTTCATCTTTTTCCTCACTTCGTAAAAGTAACTGAAGATCACGACTGCAGCAGCAACTGCAACCCCAACGGCACTTTGAGCCAATATGGTGCCGTTTTGCACAATTGCCTTAGCACCTGTTTGGGTCGGGTTAAACCCTAATTCGGAAAGTTTTTTGTGTGACGCGGCGTAGTCTTTGAAGAAAGCTTCTTCATCCTGCATGCGAAAATATAGTGGAGAGATCTTAGTTTGGGAGCATGATGGAAATTAGATGACGAGAGAGAAAAAAAAAACGGGCAATAGTTCAACGTAGTGACTGATGAGAGGGAAAGAAAGTAAAGCCAGCTAATGCAAAGAAACCTAACTGTCTCAGACAATAAAAATTAGGCACTTTACAAAAGATTGAGTTGATTAACTTGAGTGAAAAAACTGGCATAGAACACACTTTTATCCTCTAATTGGACGTTAGTGAGTCGACCGATGACAGTAAAGGCAGATTAAAAGGAGAAAAAATATCCTCCAACTACAAAAGATAATCACATAGTAAGTGTGGCCATATGTTTATATTCACATATCAGCCCATTATGTTTAGCTTTAAACTCGATACCCTTTTAATCAACAATCACTAAAATATAATATTTGAAGCACAATCCATTAGGGGTGTGTTAGCACAATCTATAAAAAATTATAGATCATGATGCAACCATAACACAATCAGCTCTCTGGGAGTTTTCATCTTAAATTTGAATAAAATAGGAGAAGTGCAAATCAAAATCGTGTAATTACATGACTGTCCATATGAATACACACATATTGAAAAAATGCTTAATGCTTCTCACAACAACCAGATTTTCAGGCCTAAGGACAGACACTTGATTCAGATAACCAATTTTAGCATGTATTTTCCGACCCAAGTTTTATTTGGGAGTCATTGAATTTGAATCTAAATTACTTTCATGATGGATCACCTATTATTTAAAGAAGAGGGGCTGATATTGCAAAGTAAATGAACATTTGAGCTGCTTTACAGACCTAATTGCATAGCAACACACACACACACACACACACACACACACACACACACACAATTATAATATACCGATAGCTGAGCATCTGCTTGCAATTCTTTACCTTAGCGTAAAGCTCAACATAACTCTTAAACTCTGGATCATCCAGCAAGGCCATATCAGTTGGGAGTTTTAGTAAGCCCTCATTTCCCCCCTTAAGCAATTCCCTGATTTGGAGGAACATAAACAAAAAGACACATACAGACAAACAGAAATATTGAAAACAAGAGATTCATGAAAGACTTACTTAAAGTATGAATTATCAAACTTCAATGGCTCTGCAGTCCAAGGACCATCGAAACCAGATCTCTCAGGATGTGCCCTTCCCTGAAACAATTATTAATCCTTAATTGTGTTACACCAGATTTACTTTCCTGAAAAAAATAAATGTCCCTCGCTTTTCTATCCATCTTTTCTTTCCTTCCGTTGTTAATTTTTGGATTATTACTAGGGTAGAAGACAAAGTTTGGTTTATAATACATTAAATAAAAAATGTTAAATCATAATTACCAGGGTATGGCCACCCGACAGTGCCACTATGTCTTTATCAGACAAGCCCATACGATAGAATACCTCCCGAAGGTGTGGCACTCCTAACATTCAAATTTCAAGAGCATGTTAGTAAACCTCTAACCAGCTTCCTGGATACAACAATTTTTGAGTTTCTCCATTTTGTATCCTCTTATCAGAGATTCAAAAATAAACCACACTGAAAATAAGAAGCCAAATGCAAGCAAGGGCGCTATATGCTCCTTGAAAGCTTTATACAGAAGAACTTAAACAACTTGTTAAGAAGAATTGAAGTATCTCTATTTATATCTCAGGATGAATTTTCAATTAGAAACCATGGGAAGCCACAGATACAGAGGTTCCATATGGTATAAAGTTAAACAAGTGATGTTAACAGAGAACTAAGACTTCCATAATATTTCATTCAACCTTCATTAGCATTTGGAAGCCGTCCTTCCTTTGGAGAAATCTTTGAATCCTGAAAGAAACATGAGATGACCACCAATAAGAATGCTGCGAATGTAATTAAAATACAAGCCAATATACAGAATCTAACCAAAATTAGTTCGAAATAAGCAATTGAAAGACACAACCCGTCCTTAATCACAAGACAAGTTTTATTACATTTCTATAAAATAAACTAATAGTACCTTTCTACCAGGCACAAATTCAATTGTAGGGCCTCCAGTAACTTCAACTGCAACAACACCTGCAAGCTGTAGGCAAATTAGTTTGGGTAGAAGCAGTTGCACTTCATTTACTTTGGGTAGAAGCAGTTGCACTTCATTTATCCACCCATAGACACCTTATCACGAGGTAGGCTAGATTAAAGAATATTAAAGATAATATTTGGCAATGCTTTACATAATACATGCAACGTTAGGTCACTAATTTTATCGTCAATTCATTATCAATGTCTAGACCAAGAATGTATCTGTGTGTATGAGACTGAGTGGAGTTTTTCGCGATTTGTTTTTAAATATTCCTCTGGTATTCACCATCCAAGAATAATGATTCCTTCTAGTTAGTGACTATTTTAAAATGTAAATTATATTATTATGCATGTTTATCTGAAACAGGATTTTATCCGTTAAAGGGAGACAAACTTGGCATAGCATGTGTTGCTTTGCCAAAAGAACCGTCAAGTTGAACTTCGTTAAAATAAAATCATTGTTCTCGATCTCTGAAGTTCATGACCGGAACTACATGTTGTAATTCACCAAAAGATTATTCTCATAAGAGGGATCTTTAGCAGTCAATTTCCTAATTCTCATACAACAAAGAGTTGATGAAGTTGCATTAGACAACAGCAAGCCAGACTATAAAACCTTTAAAGCACAACAGCAGATTGATTACCTGATACAAATCTGCATATGTAATTCTTGGGCATTTAGACCTCACTTGTTCTGCAACCAGATACACAAATTAACAGTAAGAAAATGTGCAGACGTAGACTTTCAAGTAACATAACTCATCCAACAAAACAAGTTGAACAGCACAAATACACATGAAATTTACTATCCTCAATGGCACATGACATCAGACGACAAATACAAGACCAGCCAGCCTCACATGTAACAAAGAATCATTTCATTCTGTGGGGACGAATACTCCAAGCTAAGCTACAGAACCATTACAAGAGGATAGATTACGGTGCATTAAATATACGATCACCATTCACCAAAGGGTTAAACTAAAATCCCAACAACAGATATAACATCCTAATACCGAGTATAGAACAACTGAACAACTCTACATGCCATTGCAATAATCATAAATAGTATCTTCGATCATTGATCGATAGTTGTCCTCCAAGCTATTCAGACCAAATATCGAACAAAAGAACTAAATGCCATTGCATAGATAATCATAGAAAGTATGTTCGATCAATACTCGATAGTTGTACTCCAAGGAATTCAGACCAAAACAACTACATGACATTGCAAAGATAATCATGATAAGTATCTTCATCAATAATCCATTATTGTACTCCAAGCAATTCAGACCAAATATCGGACAACCGAGCAACTACACACCGTTGCAAAGATAATCATAAGAAGTATCAGCCATCAATACGTGATAGTTGTACTCCAAGCCATTCAGCTAGAACAAATACTGAAAACAATGGAACGTGAACTCCATTTCAAAGGAACAAAAAATCAAAACCTAATTTACCACAAAACTCGAGCGCGATTTTCAAGCCATTGTTGGCTCCGTGAGCGCACTCCTCTTCATTTCGAATCGAACCATTCGGACCTCCGGTCTTCGAGTTCACATCATACGTCCCCGCGTCATGCCACCTACTCAGCCATAACCAAATAAACAACCAAAAAAAAAATCGATCCGTTAGAACAATCAAACTATACTCGCGAAGCTAACATTACGATTAAAACGAGAGAATCGCAGAGTAGAGTGAAAAAGGAAAACGAGAATTTACGCCAAACGCAGCATAATAGGTGCACAGTTTTTGTTGGCGATGAGCGCGCGAAGCTCACGGCGGGCTCTCTCGATCTCCTTGAGGTACTCCGCGTCGATGATGACTTTCGCCATGGCTAGAAGCTGTGAGCCTGTGAACTGGTCTCTTGGGATTTTTCTTTTTGTGAGAATTTAGATAAGATGATATACTATATTATTTCTTTGAATAATTTGACCGGCGCTAAATATAGGGTTGGCCAAATTGCAGCTTGCAGTTATAGGTGTGAATAGCCAGCAGCCAGGTGGAGTCCAAAATTCTCAAGAGTCCCTGAACTTGAGTCTCAAACCAAACAAATTTGATTCGTGAAATTAGCTCCAGTTCGACTGGGCCCCTTACAATATTGAGTTTGAATTATAAATTATATATACTTAAAGTATTATAAATCTAAAAAAAAAAAATATACATAAAAACTTCTATTGTTGAGTTTTAGTGAGTTTGTACGGTTGAATTTGGTTAGATTTTTTTTTTTTTTTGGAGCCAGTCACGATATCTGGAGATATGTTCCGACTAATTCATTGGTCGACTCGGGTTGCACACCTAGCAGTGGTGGGTGAGTCTTCCAACAAAGATTTTCTGCATCCACAAAACGAACCTGAGACCTTGCTTAAGGGACATTAAGTTGCTTACCATTTGAACCAAACTATATTCGGCGGTTCGATTTTTAATTTGAGTTCAGCTGATTTGGTCAAACTTTAACATTTTATATAAAATTAAATATACATATATACTACCTTCTATTCTTTTTAAGCATTATCAATCATTAACAAAATAAATGTTGTTTTAGATATTTTGTATATATTTTTCCATCATTACCCTCATCTAGCTAATAAATACACTACGTATTTTCATATTCACTCTTCATCTTTTTTTTTTCAAAATATTCATCTATATCCTCATTAATGAGGGTTACTGTTGACAAAAAAAAAAAAAAATTTAATAACTGTGCAATTTTTAAAAACGATACTTATTATGAATAGGAGGGAGTACCAATTTATTTGAAATAAAAAATAAATAAAAAAAATATATATATTTAATATAGAGTAAAATGTAGAGATAAAGACTGGAGATGAATGTTCAACTCTACTCTAGAGTAGAGTAAAGTCCGCCATACAGTATAGATAAAGATTGAAGATGACCTTATTTTGTGCTAACTTTGAGGCTGGAATTTCTTTTTATTTTTTGTGGGTTTACGTAAATTCATCGATAAGTATGAGTGGAAAACAGTGGGCTTAATAACTAAGCCCACGGGTGAGGTATGGGCCGTTTAATTATCACTCACTGACGTCACTAATTATTGACCACTACATTTTTTAGTCCATACTCAATTTAATTCTTCTTTTTTTTTTAGAGTTGAATCAACATTTAATTTTAGAGAACTATTTTTCCACGTACAATAAAATTTTGAAAAAAATAGCATTATTAATTATTAATCTGAAATTCAGTATTATTAATTATTTATCAATCATTTATAGTCATGGATCCTGCTCTAATAAGTCTGTCCTGTAAACCATTTGACTAAGAAAAATAAAAATTCAAAAATGGTTATATTTATGCAATCCTCAAAATAAGCAAGGAATTAAATAAACAACAATCTCAATTTTAAGTATATAATCCGAATAATTTCAAAAATATATCAATGTATTACAAATTTTGACATGAAAAAAAAAATAATAAACTAATAAATCAAGCATCGGCCTTATTCTTTCTCGGACGACCACATTTCACTTGAATTGCCAAAGTCTTTTCAACATGTGGGCACAGTTCTTTGCCACCATTAAGCAGCTGCTCCCTTTCAAATGGGATTGTGCATGCTGATTTCCCCAAGCAAACCTGCCACAAAATTCCAAAGATTGTTAATTTTCCAAACAATGAAAGTTTGACAGGTCGGCCCGTCTGGTGAGTAGACCGTCTTACGCAAGGATTTGTGTTTTCGAAAAGTTAGATATAAATGTTGTGAAAAAAAAAAAATATAGGTTTTTGACATATGTACTACCTTCTCAACAAGACCATGGACCGCAGTAGAATCGCACGGGCTAGGCTTGAAGCCCCCACACGCACCATCCGAGTTCCCAAAGCTTGCGAACTCGACTTTGGTGATTAGCTTGTTATCAGGGCAAGTGAGGTACGCGGCTTTAATCGGGTCTGTTATGTTTCGGAATACGTTGTTTTTCCTCTCCCACGTTTTGACTTGCGGGTGGTGGTATTCGGTGATCACGCTGCAGATCGTGTCCCGATTAACGGTCACGATCTCAATCTTTTCCGGGTTACCGCCCGTCTCCTCGAACACTACGAGTAGGTTGCCCTTTGGCTTCAAGAACTCTCTTGGAATGTGATACCTATATATATGGAATTTTGAAGAATTTAAATTTATATTAATTCCATTTATATGACATTTTAAAATATGTATACTTACATTATAAAATGTCATATATTAAAAAAAAAAAATACTAATAGCAACATGATATTTGATAGTATAAATATGCATTTTTTTCAAATAATATAAAGAATTCACTTGTCAATGATATATTGTTACCCACAAAAATTTATGAATAATAAATACTCAATGTTTTATTGTTTGCTTACTCTTCTTGGGTGGGGGTCCCACTTGGTGACACGTAAGAATCCCAATATCGGCCAATGCTTTGACCGTTGACCCAAACCATGCCCTTTGACATGCTTGGCATTCTAATTGCCACTGGGTTTTCGCCTTCTGGTGCATCAAAGTATGTCTGAAAAAAACAGAAAATAAAAATAAAAATAAAAATAAAAATATGATTATGTAAAAGTTTTGGGAATAAATTTGTTGCATTTTTTACATTATTAATTTGTGCAATGGTTAAATTATTGCATCTTGAATTAAATATCGTTATAGGTTTAATTATTTAATTAAAAACTAACGCATTTAAAAAAATAAAAAGAATAAAAAAACAGATAGAAATTTAATTATTTTAATTACCTTGTACCAGGTAATAGGTGAAGGAGTTGCATTTGCCTCAACCCACTTGACTTTCTTTGACCCCTCTTCAGTGAACAGTTGCATTTTCTCGCCTGCTACACCAACCTGCACATTTTTTTTTAATTATTATAAGTAAATAAAATACAAATTCATAAATATTTGAACATTTACTGTTTTAATTGGGATATTCTATGGTCCCGTTACGGAACCATTCCGTCGGGGTTTGTAACCGTTAGATCAACTATCCACGACGGTTACATGATGATCTAACTGTTATAAATCTCGACGGAATAGTTCCGTCACGGGACTATTTCAAGTATCATATGTGTTTTTATCACAAAGTTAACTACCTCTTGGCCCCAATAGTTACGGGTAATATCAAGAGTCCCCGACATGAGTCCTTCAAGCGTGATAATTTTAGGCCCCGCAAACCTTTTCTCCATATATGCACCACTATTCTACAAGTTATTAGCAACCACACTAAATATTAAAATATAAAAATAATAAAAAATATATATTTCACTTATATAATTTATACTTTATTATGATGAAATAATGTAGGTTTGAATTACCGGCAAACCAACTGTCATTGCCAGTATTGATATCTCGTTATCACCAGTCCTCAAATTGACAGTGTTTTTGAACACGTGGCTCTTTTCGACATTGCTACCGTGCCCAAAACCTTAATCACATTCTATTAATTAATTCTTTGGAGACAAATTGAATATTTTGATTAGTAGAAAATTTATTTATTTATTTCTATATATATAGAAATAAATCGAATATTTACGTACCTACGTATTCTCCATTGACGAATGCAAGCATTGCATGTCCAAGGCTAGCGACCTGAAGCACCGGAAGAATATCGGGACGCCTTGGCATGTCACGCCTTTCCAAGTTGATTCTAATAATAATAAAAATAAAAAATAAAAATAATTAATATGATATGAAAAATAAATAAATGAATAAATTTTGGAACAATGAATTTATGTTATGATTGAAAATTAGGTTTTTGCATGCATACCTGGTACTGTACCATGCATAATCCGAGGTATCTTTAGTGAAATGGTACAATTCCTTTGGTGACTTGCTCTTTACCTCTAAATCGTGAGGGCTTGGCACGCTTTCTTTGTACATTTCCCATTTAGTGAACTTTGCTTTCTTTGAGGGTACGAAGTTTCTCGCACTGTGTTGTGCCACAACCTATGGCGAAAATTATATTTACGAATCATTTATAAGTCGTGAAAAACGAGCTGAGCCCAGTTCAGTTCGACTCATTACAAAACAAGCCAGTAATCGAGCTCGACCTTAGAGCCTTAATTTTTGAGTCAGACTATAAAAAAAAAAATTAAACAAAAATTCATAATTTCGAGTCATCTTAACAAGCCGAGTCGAGTCTAGGTCGTAAGCTAAACAAGAGATGTTTTTTTTACCGTTTGAGTGTTGTAAACTACAGTGCGACAATCAGGTAAAATGCTGATGGATTTAGCTGGCAAGAAATAGTCAACGCCCCTGAAGTTGATAGTCGCGTCCTCCCTCGAATTGTTGTTGGTCAAGAATGCAGCGCAAATTTTTGTTCCTACCTTCTCATAAGTCGTGATCTGATATATTTAAATAAAAATATTAAGAAAAACTATATCAATATTTAATTTGTTGATGAGGTCAATAATAATATTAGAAAATGCTACGGTCTCATATGGAACCATTCTGTCGGGATTTGTAACCGTTACATCAACTATATCTGACGGTTACACGATGATCTAACGGTTACAAAAAACCCCGACGGAATGGTTCCGTAACGGAACCGTAGCATTTCCCATCAGTATTAATTTTATATTTTGTATCGCTAACAATTTAATTACCTCTAAGTCTTCACTAATCTTTTGAACGTGTTGAGTACCCCACAACAGTGGCTTTTTGCTCAACCTCAGTGCCCTGTGCAAGTCCCTCAAGTGTCCGAACTTTGGTTCCCTCTTCAAACCTTTAACAAATTAAAAAACCAATTTTTTAAATTATTTATTTACCATTTTAATAAATGATTGACAATATATAGTATATATATGTTTTTAATTATTTTAATGTGCTTACCAAATTCATCTAGTGGAGCTTCGTCATAGTAACGGGTTGTCACGAAAGATGAACTCGTTCGCCCAAAATTGGTCCCACCATGGTACTATAAAAAATAAATAATAAGATATACTCAAATTAATATTTGTATTGTCAAAACAAAAATAAAAATAAAAAAATGGGTCCTTTGATGAAAAAAAAAATAAAGGACGAATATATATATACTAGTGACTTCACTACAATAATCGAGTTTTTTATCGTTAGATCAACAAATATAAACACGTATCATCTGTTTATTCAGTGCAAAAAATCAGAAGACTACAATTCAATAAGAAGATTTAAATGTTCCATAATAATACATACCATGTAATAGTTGTTGAGGGTTCCGTTTCTTGCAAAGAAACGAGCAACGGAAAATGCAAGGTCCTCAGCCGCCCGTTGAGAGGGCGGGTCGCCGAAGACTCTGTACCTGCAATGTGATTACCCTCGAGTTTATGTATAATTACATGAATGGCCCCTCAAGGTTTTGCTTGATTACAAAATATAAATAAGGTTTTAGTGTCTTTTAATGGTGACAAATATTGTCCAAAAGCAACCAGCAATTAACAAACACCCCCCTTGACTTTTGTTTTCACTAGGCGAAATGGTGCAATTTTGTCGAAGATTTTGGGGTGTATTTGATATTCATCGAAATTCAGGGTAATATATATTATTATTGCAAGAATGATAACTGAACGTACTGGGCCGTCCAATTCTCGGTCCAGAGAGAAGGCTTGTCGGGCCCATTTGGTCCGGGGAAAGTGTCCCCACATTGTCTTCCATTGCAAGTACTAATCTGAAGACATTCATGAGAAAAAAGATAAAATGTTCCCCCATATGTCATTATAATTAACATCATTTCACCAAACACACACATTGTAGGTTAACAATATACCGAAATATTTCAAATTTTACTGTTCTTTATCGAGCCGAGTCAAACATTGTTCTTTATCGAGCCATGGTCGATTTTTTCACACCCGCAAATGTGTTGCTCGAAGTTCAGCTTGACGACAAAACACAAACGCTCAAGACAGACTCGAGATCAACTTGAATGCGATCGGTTCGAATTTGGTTTGAAATTTTTAATTAAAAATGTCTAATGAAGGGTATTTAGGTAGTTTGAAATATGTTAGAGTGGCTCGTCGAGCTTTTGAACGTACAAACTACAGGCTTTCAAATTTGAAATGCTTGAGTCGAGGTTTGACTCAAATGCTCGCGAACTAGTCGCTCGACTCGTTTGCAATCCTAATATGAACCGAGGGACTCCAATAGTCCATATAGGAACTTACAACTGTCTGAGGGGCATCCTTTTGCTTGCACATCACCCATGGCACTCCATTGTGCAGGCCCACCGCCAAATCAGCGGCCCACTTAACGTAGTTTTGACCGGCCTCTTTGTATGCGAGTTGGACATTGTTGTACTCGTTCTCAATCTGAATGAGTATGAAAAGAGTTAATTATTAGCAAAGTTTTTGGTGGAATTTGAAAAAATAAACAAGTAAATAAATAATAATTAATGTGTACTTTTTTATTTATTTAAAATCTGAAATAGTGAAAATATATATACCTGGGCCATGATAATTGGGCCTCCTTGGTCTGCAAAGAGCTTCTCTTTCTTAACCAAATTAATGACCATCTCAGCATACCTTTTCATGTGGTACTGTATAATTGGTTTTATATAAATTATAATTAAAAAATAATCAAGAAAATAAATAAATAAATAGAACTTGGAATTTGGACTTACCATGAAAGGTTCATTATAGGAACGAAAGGTGATGTTTGGTACCTCCTTCAACCAGTATGGGAATCCTCTGTTCAAATTATAAAAAATTGGATAAATTAAAAAAATAGAACTTTAAAATATAAAATAAAGTACCTATTAAAATAATTTTATTGAAAAAAAAAAAAAAGCTACATACCCCAAATTCCATTCAGCCTCAATGTAAGGTCCAATTCTTAGGGTCACCCACATACCATTCTCACCAATTGTTTTGATAAATTTCACCAAGTCATAGTTGCCTTCGAAATTGAACTGCACCAAGACAACAAAAAGATTGATTGATTGTTCATGCAACAATATTCTCATGCAATTATGCAAATTAGTTCGGTTTAGCTATTAGCTGATAGCAGATATCGGATATGTTATTTTGTATTAGCGTATTACTGATAGTGAGTCGTGATATCTGATTCGAGCATTTTCAGATTTAACATTTTGGACAAAAAATATATTAAAATACAGTTCAAGTCTAATTTAACATCAATTCGCTTATAACATTCAATTGAATTCAATTTTTTAATGAATAATTTACACAAGAAAAGGGGAAAAAAAAAGACTAAAAACAAAGTTGATGGCTTTTTTTAATGAAGCTATCAAAATTTACCTGTCCTTGTACAGGTTCGTGAATATTCCAAAACACATAAGTTTGTATCACGTTCAATCCACCTTCTTTAGCCTTTCTGATTAGGTCAGGCCACATCTGATAATTATACCAATACAACAATTGAAGAAAATGAGAAAAAAATAAAAAAATAAAAAAATTTATCCATAAATTAAGGACAAAGTTATGTATTTGATTTGATTAACAAACCAAACATTCATATGAACACAAACATTTTCATCACTTTCACGGATAAAAAAAATAAAAATTAATAAATAAAAAATTAAAGTACCTTTGGTGTGCTACGTGGATAATGTATAGAACCAGAGAAAAGTAATTCTCGGGTCCCATTGATGATAAGCGAGCGCGAATCGTAAGTCACCACCGGTCGATTTTCATGTTTCTTTTTGCCATAAGCACTCACAACGACCAACGAGAACAAGAACAACAACAAAAATCTATCGTTTTTCGTCATTTTTTTTCTCATGCAAAACACTCTATTTTTGTTTTTTTTTTCCCTTCACTTACGATTTGAAGAGAAAAGAACGAGCCTCTTTCTTCTCTACGTAAGAGAAGAGAAGGAGGTCGAACTTAGGAGAACGTCTTTAAAACAACATTCATGCATATAAAAACCAAAGGGTCATGGCAATGTTTAGGTCCAGGAGTTGTTCTCGGGGTACATGTGTTTTTTCTCATTTTTAGTTGTTTTTTATGGGCCTTTGATTTATTGATGTCTATTTTTAGAAACTTGGATAACTTGTGGTGGTACAATATTGAGATTCTTTTTTTTTCATGTATTATAGATGTTTTTGTCCAATGTGGAGAGAAGTAAGGAAGTTCAGTAAATTACGTGGAAGAATTGGTTATGAATTTGTTACAATTTTTTTTTTTTTTTTTTTTTTTTTTTTTTTTTCTTAAAAAAAGGATCAAACACACAAAAATTCATCGAATCCTAACACGAGCGACTCTGCAAAAATAGATAATAATCGCAATTTACTAACCGAATGTTATAAATTTAGTATCACTTTAGGGATATCACACTTTCCTCGTAAAGCATGGCTTAGAATGTCCAATTCTTGCCGTCGATTTCAAACCTTTGATCTCCATACGACCACGCCAACCGCTCTTCCTGATCCTCCCCAAAACTCGCCATAAGAAGGATCTCATTCTTCCACAGAGGATCCCCACATGAATCAGACGCATATCCAATCTTGAATTTCTTTGTCCACGATCCGAACACCCCATATTCTTGCATCACCCATATATCAACGCCTACGCCAAAACCGTGGTACACTGCAAGAGATCCGTCCAAAACTCGAGGAAGATTTCTGCTGGATGAAAACTTGAATGCCCTAGGAAGCTCCATAGGACGAAACATCTCGTCGTGCATGTCGAAAGAAAGTATGAACTGTCTCCTTGGTGGTTCGTGATGGTACGAGATCCAATGGCAGCGCCCATTGACCGTGGGCACAATGCCCACATTATTTACTAGTGTGGGGGGGTCGTGGGAGGTGCTTCTCCAAGTGTTGGAAGCCGAGCTGTAGATTCTAGCTTTGAATAGCCTGAGTTTGTTGCGGACATGGCTTTTAGGACGGTAATATGCAATTGAAATAACCTTGTAGTCCTTGTTGTGGATTCCAAATCCGATTGCATGATTACTACATCTGTTGTATCCATAGAGTCGAGGGAAATGGCTCGGAGGGAGTAGCTTAAACTCTCCAGTCGAAGGGTTGCACAGCATAATCTTCTTGTTGTTTGAATATTTGTAACAAACCCACCCATTGCAAGGCGTCGAGATAGCCCTGACCGAATAGGGCTTTTTCGCAATTTGTAGAGGTGGTGCGACAAAGTCTAGAGATTCGTACGAATGAAGGGAAACCACCTCTGTTTCCACAGTACGAAAAATCAGAACTTGTTTGTTAGCTCTCTTTAGCGAGTGATGCTTGAAATGCTTTTCAGCAAAAGATCGATTTGTGATTAAACTACTCCAGGATTTGCAGACGCACTTCAGACGCATCAATGTTTTTACGGGCAACGTAACTAAAATCTCTTCTATCATGTCTGCTTCTATTGATGGGTTAGAGCTGATGTCTTCCATTACGTCTTCCATTGATAGCCTAGACGAAGCACATAATATGAGAATGAAACAAGTGTAAAATCAGAAAAATCAGACTAGGGTTTGACAAATCTCTCTAACCTTTGCCAAATCTCTCTAAAATCATTCATATATTTGGATGCCAATTTCACTTTTACTTTCTTGAAAAACGATAAGAAATTTGCCAATTCCAATTTCCTCACAAATCACATAAAAATTGTGAAAAAAAAAAAAAAAATCCCAATTCAAGGATTTAACCATGGCATAGAGGTATGAAATAGCTGGATCATTAGTGTTCCGATGCAATGAATATACAGCAAATTTTAAAAGTCTTGAATTTGAGCAGCTAGGTTTAGATCAAGATTGTTCACCCTATATTATTCGGATCATCCTCACAAGAAGCTATGTTCAAATTGCCTCAAAATCAATCCGATTTGAACAAACGAACTTAAACACTGACAACAATAGTACCTGATTTGAAGCGGAGACGAGGTGTGCTAGGCTAAATTGGTTGTGAAGCTCAGACCGTGTCAATCTCGGGCAAAGGCTCGGCGTCCGGGTCGCATCTCGTACCCGGTTATGCTAGAAGAAAGAAGACGAGATTTGTACGTGAGGAAGACTAATAAGTGAGATCGGTTGAGCTTGGGCTGGGCTTAGGGTGATGTCAGGCCCGCTATAGGCTAGGCGAATCCTACCCCAGATTATTTTATCCCAACAATTCATGACATTGTTGTATTCAATTGAGATTGTTAAAGACTTTTTAAAACTTTTTAAATTTTGTGATTTTTGTGGATTTTGTAAAACTTTCACGAGTTTGGTGGACTTCTTGAGACTTTCAGAGAATTTTCAGTAGTAATTTTTTAAGATTTTCATAATAGACTTTTTAAAACTTAATGAGACTTTTATGTACTTGGCCCTTGTTTGCTTTTGGGGATGGGATTGGACTAATTTAGTCCAATTGGAAAGGATTATATTGTTGGAATTGAATTAATCATATGTTTGTTATACAGGATAAAGGGTAGGATAAGTTTAGATTAAAAATTAAATAAAAAATGTGTAGGTGGTGTAAAGTACTTTTATACCCTTTCAATTAAACCAAAAATTATTAAAATGAGGGTAAATTTGACTTTAGCTTCTTGGGATTGAATTAATCCCATGTAAATGGAGGGATTCAATTATCCTGATTTCATGGGATAACTCACTTTTTTATCCCGGGCCGACCCAATCCAGCGGGCCTTAATACAACGAACCAAACGTAGGATTAGGCCAGGATTAGACAGGATATCCTGCCTAATCCTACAAAACAAACAGGGCCTTGTAGTATTAATATAATGTTTGAATGAAACATTAATAAATAACTAATATCAATAATAATAAATGAAAAAAAAAATATAATTAACCTCTAAAAATTCTGAATCAAGTTATTGTTATGCGAAAGGAGTTACTCACGAGCAAATCAATCCAACATTCGAACGATGGAAAATACAACATTGTCGAAAAACAGTAATTATATCTTATAAAGTCATCAATAATATTCAAAATAATTAAATATCAACAAATAAACTATTTAGAAAATAAAATAATCTTTTTACTATTTAAAAATAAACATTGACAAATGAAAAGAGAGAAAAAATAAATTATTTGCAAGTGCAAACTATGGTAGCATTTAACTTTCGAAAAGTCCAATACACAAGATAGCAAAATGAGAGAATAAATGTATACATACATAAAATAACATAATGAAAATTATATAAATAAAATTAATATACGTAATGAGAATAAAAATTATACAAGGTATCAAAATAAATGAATAAAATAATAGAGCATGAAAGTGATATGAGATACATGGTCGTGTTAAAAAGAAAAAAGAAAGGGAGCGTGAAGAGAGTCACACATGTCCAACGAAATCTCACCAATATTGATGAGATTTCAGTTGAGACTCTCTCTTTGTAATTTTATAAGAAAAGTCTCTAAAAGTTTCACAATTTAAAAAGTCTTCTTATTTTGAATACAGGGTGACTTATAGAGACTCTAAAAAGTTTTAATTGAATATCTTGAGACTTCTAAAGACTTTTAAAAAGTCTTTAAAAGTCTCAATTGAATATATGCAAATTTTTAAAAAGTCTCTATAAGTTCTAATTGAATATGATTGAATTCTGAAAATTTTAAAAAGTCTCTAAAAGTTAAAATTGAATACACCTTACTCTCAAAAAGTGAGTGTGAAAATACATAAAACCCCCTACACATCCAATTATTTACAATTATATATTATTTAAATTTAAATATTACAACCCTTTAGCTGTTGTTGCCCTAATCTTGTAATCGAAAATACATAAGTGCAGAGAGAGAGAGAGAGAGAGAGAGAGAGAGGGGGAGAGAGAGCTCATCGTTGAATCCGTCCCCAAGGTAAGGTCGAATTTCGTTCTTGTGTGTGTGTGTGTGTGTGTGTGTGTTTTATCGCAAAGACTGTGTGTTTTTTCACCGTGTTGTCGGGTTTTCCTTCTCCTCTGAGATATGGTGTTTCGATTTCTCCATTATCTGAGTTGTTGTTGTTGCTTT